CCCCCCACGGCTCCCCCAGGAGTATGCACAGCGGTAGGAGCCGCACCCCCCCTCCCCAAATGAGCCACTCATGACTCCGTCCTGGGGCCCCCAGCCCCACTCCCTCCCTCAGCGCCGGGGCCTCAATCTGCACCCTCCATGGCCCTTCCCTCCCCCTACCCCCCACAACAGACTTATCAGCGGGACGCTGCTCTCCACACTGCCCAGCTGCACATCAGCAATCGGATCAGTATCGGCTGATACGGCTCGTTAAAAAACGGCCATTGGTATCGGCCCCAAAAAAATCTCTATCGGTGCACCCCTATTAACTATACAGTGAGTAATCAAACCCCAATCTGAAATGATGACTTTGAAGTTGGGCCCAAATTTCCAGGGCGTTTGTGTTCAATCTCAACTGAGATAAGTCTCAGAAGAGGACAAAAACTGCCCTTTACTGGCTCAGACCATAGGTCCATCTTGTCCAGTCTCCCCTGTCACGCAGCACTTCGGACCCCGAGGTGCTCCCCACTTCCCGGGGCCCAATTCTGGCCCCGGGGCTGTCCCGGACACCTGGCTCTCCGCCTCACCTCCCGTCTCCATAGCAACAGCGGGAAGCGCTGCCGAGGCCCCTTCCAGCCGGGGCTGCCCCACCCAGCGCCTGCTCGAAACCAAGACACTCCCCCCCCAAAACTCAGCCCGGCCGCTCCCCACCCAGCCCCCGAGCTCTCACCACTGCGGCTGCCTGGTGGAGGGGCACTGAAGTGACAACTCCCTCAGGCGGGCGGCTTAGCCAACCCCCACGCGGGGGGGGGGGTCCTTCGACGCTAGAGTCGCAGCAGCGGCCGGCGCGCGGGAGGGCAGGCGCGCAGCAGTGGAGGCGGGTGCGTGTCGGGGACCGCTCTCGGGAGGGGAGGAGGAGACCGGCCTCGTTTTCGCCCCGCGGCGCCATGGACACGGACCTGTACGATGAGTTCGGCAACTACATCGGGCCCGAGCTCGACTCGGACGACGATGACGACGAGCTGGGCCGGGAGGCCAAGGACCTGGACGAGGTGTGGCCCCTCGCCGCGGGGGACAGGAGGCTGCCGGGGGATGGGACCCTCTAGACTCTCCTGTCCTCTTCGTTCGTGGGAAACTGGCTTTTGCAGGCAGAGGTCCAACCTGCAAGGGGTTGCTTGGGCCCCCCTATCCCACACACTTGGGGGGCTGGGGTGTGCAGGCAGGAGGCAGCGGGTCAGGAGTGAGAGGTCAGGACTGGCCACTGATGTTTACAAGTTGGTCCTGGTGCAAAAAAAGTTGAGAACTGCTGCACTAGATCAGATGGATAGTGGGGGAGAGGGAGAGAAAGGTGGAGAGACAGCGAGTTTTCACGAGCTGACACTTGCTTCACTGATGAAGTGAGCATGAAAGCTTGCACGTGCTCACTTTTTCTTTATATGCATGTGTGTGCATCTTGGTTACTCCCTAAAGGAGCGTATCGGCTTTGCCTCCTGATATAATGGAGAGACAGAAGTAGTGTTTATAGCCCCAGAGTAGAGATGTGGTCACCAGGACATGTTGCGTGGTGAAAGGGGCTGCACCTGATGACCCAGAACAATGTTCCTAATGGTGTGGTGGTTCAGTGTTGTTTACAGGCACATGAAAAATAGTCACCAGTTTACCACTCAGATTCTTATACAGTTAGAATTTCATGCGCTGTATTTTGCAACTGTGCTTTGACGTGGAGGGTAGCCTGGCTTGCTGCTTGCTTGGCAAAACTTTGGTAGCCTGTGTACATGTACAGAAGGCAACATCTTGTGGTTGCATAGAATCACAAGGTTAGGAAGGACTTCAGGGCACCTTCTGGTCCAACCACCTGCATGAATGTAGGAATGATGCTCCTAAAGCATTCCCATCCAGTGAATTTAGCAGTAGCCTGTGGAATAGATTTAAGGTGTGGAAAATGGCCGTCAAATAAAAATTGGGAGAGATTGTCAGCACCCCTGTCTGGACCTGTTTCTGATCAGTGCTAGAGATATTCAGTCCCAGAGCAGGTCCCAATCTTGGTGTAAGTCGGTATGGCTTCCACCTGTGCTCATGATTTGATATGTGACCAGAAGCATTTTTCTATCCTAAAATGGGGTTCAGAATACAAACCTTAGAAGGGGTTTTGTGGATCTCAGCATCTAAAAAGCGCTTTGAGATTGTTGGGTGGATAAAGTATTTCTGTTGTCGGTTTCAGCTTGATGATGATGACGATGATGACGATATGGGAGACCATGATGAAGATCACCCTGGAATGGAGGTGGTACTGCATGAGGATAAGAAATACTATCCCACTGCAGAAGAGGTCTATGGGCCTGAGGTAGAGACTATAGTGCAGGAAGAAGATACACAGCCTCTCACTGGTAAGTAATTATGGTCAGTAAATCAGATGTCTGATCAGGAAAGGTTTCTGTTGGCAATCATGGAAGGAAGAAAGGCTCTGAAATCCTGCTGGTGGTGGTATTACTTGCATCTTCTCAGACAGTCTGTTTTGTCTTTGGCATTTTAATAGAAATTCTACTGAGAGTATGAACAAAGAAGAATTTAATTCATAAATTAAAAGAACCAAGTCTCTTCTTAAAGAAAAAAAAGTGATAATGGAAATTGAATTGAGCCTGCAAATGAGCTAAATATTTGGCTCCTTACCAGTTTTAATTTGCCTTATAAAAATCCTTTTCAACCTCCAAACTCCCAAGACTCTTTCCACTTTGTTAAAGATGCCTAGAGGCATCTCTGCAGCATCACAAATGCCGGAGGAATTATGTTGTGAGATGTGCAGAGCACGCACTAACTGTGGCTGAAAAGATCTTAAAAGAAGGCAAATGAAAATCTGTTTCGGTTATGTCTGATCTTCCCCAAATAAAGCAGTTAAAGTGGTGTCATCAACCTTAAATATCACTTTTTTTGGTCTAGCAATGTGCTTAATATTGTCTGTTAATGTCGCCAAACATCAGCATTTTAAGAACAATTTTTTCACTGTGAAATTTTGTTTTGCTTTCAGAGCCAATAATTAAACCTGTGAAAACCAAGAAATTCTCCCTGATGGAGCAGACATTACCTGTCACTGTATATGAGATGGAGTGAGTACTGTATAGTTTTTTGGCTTTGTTTTTTAAGTGCACATCTGGTTTAGCTCTCCTGTATTTTTTTGGTCTTTCACTTTCCATCCAGGTTTGCCACTGGAGGGAAGGAAAGTTGGGGTGTGTGGGGGTTGCTTTGAGGAGAAAGCTGCTGCAAATTGAAGGTGCAGTCATTGTCCTTTTAGTAGTATTGGAATCCTATTAATGTAACTGCCAAGGCAGTAACAAGAGGAGGATCAGGGAAGGTATGGGTTAATTACTACATGGGAGAGGCAGCCTAGTGACAGAGGATGCAGGAAAGGTTGAAGTACTCAATACCTGTTTCACCTGTCTTCACAGGCAAGGGCAGCTCCCAGGCTACTGAACCTGGTAGCACAGTTTGGGGAGGTGGTGAGCAGCCAACAGTGGTGAAAGAACAGGTTACGGGTTATTTAGAAAAGCTGGATCTGTACAAGTCCATGGGGC